AAAAAAATTACCTTTTTTTTTTCGTTTTTGGAAACAAGCTTCCATATACAGTAAATACACCAGATGCAAGACTACATCTGTCCACCGAAGCTACTGTAATCAGTCAGTTCTGTGCATGGGACTGCAAGACTCTCCTTCTCACCGATGAATGATGTGCATTTGGTGTTGATGATCCCGCTGGGGAGAAGATGGAAGTCATACTCTTTCTCATCCACCACCACCGTGTGCCCGGCGTTATTTCCTCCCTGTGACAGAAGAACCACAGGAACCTCATGCGATGCACTGTGAAGCTGCAGGACGGTTTGCAGTCAAAGGTTCACGCTCCAGATTTACTCTCATGTATTCTCCAGAAGGGAGGCCTGGAAATGTGCCTCTGTAAGCATGCAGACGGCCGGCTTGCCCTTTCCTCAGACACACGGTCACACCAGCCTCCAGCACGCTCCACCAACCAGCGAGGCTTATTTTCATCAGGCTATGCGATGGGCTTGAGTCGCCAGCGCCGTGGCCTTCTCACATGTCCAGTAACGCTGGGAATGTGACCCGAGCTCAGGAATTCTGGGACTGACATTCACTCAGATTCAGACTTGCACAGCAACACGGCTGAGCACGCAGGAATTGTTACGAATACTTTATACTATATGCATATAATAGTCATTTTAAAAACACTGCATGTGACTAATAACGATAATGAGTCCAAACAGGGCTGTAAACACTCAACAGACACTAATCAGACTAGGTTCAGACTGATAAAGAGTGATAACACCGAATATGTAGAGAATTAAGAACTGAGCACATATGAGACCCTGGAGCACAAAAGCAGTCATAAGGGTCCATTTTTTTAAATTGAGATTTATACGTCATCTGAAAGCTGAATAAATAATCTTTCCATTGATGTATGGTTTGTTAGGATCGGACAATATTTGAAAATCTGGAATCTGAGGGTGCAAAAAAATCTAAATATTGAGAAAATCATCTTTAAAGTTGTTCAAATGAAGTTCTTAGTAATGCATATTACTAATCAAACATTAAGTTTTGATATATTTACGGTAGGAGATTTACTAAATATCTTCATGGAACATGATCTTTACTTAATATCCTAATGATTTTTGGCATAAAAGAGAAATGTATAATTGTGATCCATACAATGTATTGTTGGCTATTGCTACAAATATCCCCAGCGACTTAACACTGCTTTTGTGCTGCAGGGACACATATCATGTTTATTGCATTTTTTTTTATTTTAAAGTTTATTTATTAAGTCAAGTCACCTTTATTTATATAGCAGCTTTACAAACAGTGTGTAAAAATAGTGTGTCAATAATGCAATAATTTCAAATTATGAATAAACATTTATATATAAATCAAGAAATAAATATTTGTTTATTTACAAATGTGTAATTATTAATAAAACGTATACATAAACAAATATTTATTTATTTTTTAATTATGAATAAAAACGTACATATAAATACATATTTGTTTATTTCTTATTATTAAATTTGATATATATATATATATATAAATATGTATGACATGCATACTTTGCTATAATTATAGATATGCATAAATAATACACATAAATATTGTTGGCAAGGTATTAAATTAGTTTTTACTAATGTAATTACAGCAAACAATGATTTAGGATATTATTAAAATCCATTAATAATATAAATTAGATATAATAACCAATTATTAAGATACATATTTATGCATTTATAATTAGCCTATATTTATTAGCCTACACATTTCATACAAAAAGCTACCGGTTATTATTTATATATTGTTTGACATTGCATTGCATTATATTTACCTGACACCTGCACACGAGGTCAGACTCCGTCGCCAATAAGTCTACAACTTTCCCTTTGCCTTCATCTCCCCACTGCGCTCCCAGAACCACCGACACTTTGTTCCCGGAAAACGCCTTGATATTTGAATGCGACTCAAAGAGTGCATGCGCAGTCAAGAGTGCGCTATTATTTAGTTACGAAGCCACTACAATGCACTATTGATCGGTTTGGCGTGTGCATGTGATAAAACATCAGCTGATACGATCACTAAACGTTTAGCACTTAGAATCATTCAACCTGTATTTAGATTCTGTAAACATAAACAGAAGAGTCTGTCAACTTGGGATTGGCTGACATGCATTTGGAGGCGGAGCTTACAGCTGAAGGCGTGTGCTTGATGACGAAACGGCATACGAATTTAAATTCTAATGCATTTCAGATTGCAATGAATGTGAGCTTGAGTGTTAATGAACAAACCTCGGCACTGACTGCACATTTAAATTTTTATATAATTTAAAGATTTTCTTAATGAATATACATAGCGACATCAATATAACGAAACCGTCCAACTCAACCACAAAATATAATCCAATCATTTTTATTACACTAATATTTTAGAACTGGTATCACAATGAACTAATACTTCTCACGGGCAATGCCAAACATCGTCATAACATATAAAGTTTACATTCAGAGCAATATTAATAGTTAACTTATCTTAAAGGTTTCGAGAAACGGCAAAAATTCATGATTAGCCATTTTTTCTCTCCTGTATTAACCACTCTCTAATGTAAACAAAGTTTTGGTGTGTCATAAATGCATCTTACAGTGTGCAAATATTTAAAATAGATAGGTCAAATCTAAAGATATAGCATTTAAAAATACATTTCTTTAAGCCAGACTCAAATACACAGTGCACAATGTGTATTTCTTCAGAGTACGCCATCCGTTGCGCCTCTTCAGATCTCATCCGGTTCACTGAGATCCAGTGGAATAACAGGATCACAGCAGGAACGGACTCAACTTTTCCTTTTTGTTCTCCTTTTCCTTGAGCTTCCTGCAACATGAGGCGGGAGAAGAAGAAAAAAAAAAGAGTTTAAACTTTGAGCACCGACATTTGCCATCGATTTAAGATGATCAGCGTTAAAGGAACAGTCTGCAGTGAATGGGTGCCGTCAGAATGAGAGCTGATAAAAACATCACAATAATCCACAGCACTCCAGTCCATCAGTTAACATCTGGAGAAGACCAAAGCTGAAACACATCCAGCATTAAGACGTTTTTAACTAAAACACATAGAGTCCATAATCCATAATAACTCTTCCTCCAGTGAAAAAGTGCATCTGCTGTTGTCACTCACATCAGAATCCAGTCACATATGTGTTTAGAGCTGTTTAAACGCTGCTTGATCTGTGCAGATTTCTCTCCTGATTCACACCAGAACACTTTTTCACTGGAGGAAGCGTTATTATGGACTCAATGTGTTTTAGTTATAAATGTCTTAATGCTGGATGTGTTTCAGCTTTTGTCTTCTCCAGATGTTAACTGATGGACTGGAGTGCTGTGGATTATTGTGATGTTTTTATCAGCTGTTTGGACTCTCATTCTGACGGCACCCATTCACTTGCAGTGAGACACTGATGCAATGCTACATTTCTCCAAATCTGATGAAGACACAAACTCATCCTGATCTCTGATGGACTGAGTGTGTGCATTTTTAGCAAAGTTTCATTTTTAGGTGAACTATTCCTTTAATGATGATGAAGTAGAAAGACTTGAGGGATTGCAGTCTAATTGCTGAAGAATACAGAAACATACAGTGGTTTTAACAAATCAGCTTAAACTCTCAGAGTTCAAAAACAATCCATATGCACTTAATTTTTTTAACATATATTGATATTAAGCAAATGCAACCTCTTAAACACTCCTATCCAGAATAAACCGTTCTCTGTTAAACACAAACTATTTGATAATCTCGGCACTTAAAAGTCTTTATTCTGACAGCTGCACATCTGGACTATCTGCTTTGTTTATCTTTCATTCTTCGCTGACGGACCGATAAAGCCCTGGTTTAATCATGACAAGAAGCCTGAAACACATCGAAGTCATCAAACCAACATTTTTATATTTATCCATTTTCAAGAATATACACTTCTGTTTGGGGTCAGTATGATTGTTTTGGGAAAAGAAATGAACACTTTTATTGATCAGGGATGCATTGAATTGATCAAAAGTGACAGTAAAGATATGTATAATGTTACGAAGATTTCTATTTCAAATAAATGCTGTTCTTTTGAACTTTCTATTCATCTGTGAATCCTGAAAAATAACATGCATCACAGTTTCCACAAAAATATGAATGTTTTCAAAATAATCAGAAATGTTTCTCGAGCAGCAGATCAGCATATTATACTGATTTCTGAAGATCATGTGACACTGAAGACTGGAGTAATGATGCTGAAAATACAGCTGCGCATCACAGAAATAAATTACAGTTTACAATATTTTCACATAGATAAGAGTTATTTTACATGATAATAATATTTCACTATTTTTACTGTATTTTTGATCAAATAAATGCAGCCTCGGTGAGCAGAAGAGCCAAACAATGGTTCATCATAATTAAGATGCTGGTTAAAATTACAGACAGCCAGAGATCTTTTTGTTAACACAGAGAAATGGAATCAGTTATGAGACACAAATCTGATTTATACACATGTAAAGAAATGATTCGACAGTCTCCCATGACGAAAGAGAGGAGGTTTATTTGACGGACCGGAGACGAGAACAAACCACAGCAGATCCCCACGAGCTCAGGACGAGACGATGTTAATAACAGAGTTGGAGGACTAGTCGACACACGTGGGTAAGTAGACAGGACTGGTTAGAGATCGATTAGGCGGCTTTGAGCGGGCGTCCTGCTCGGTCCTGTTAGTTCTCTATGGAGAGGTGTTTGACCTACCTCACTGCAACACACAGCCCTTTACAGAGCGTCCTTTCCCTCTGTTACCCTCCACTTCAGAGGGACAAAGAAAGAGAGACACTGACATTCATTTCAAGCCTCTGTACGGCGAGAGCTGATGCACTAATGCCAGATGTTTAACAGAAGATTAGCAGATCACACATTAACGGGGTTACAAACAACAACAGATGTTTCTGGAAGCGTCATTAGAAAACGACAGCATATTAATATTCAGTAACTTGATGAGATGTCAAGGAAATGTCCAGGTCATATTTCACCCAAAAATCTAAAGCCTATATTTAGAACAAGTATTTTTTCCCCCAGCACTTTGTAACATTGTAGCAATAAGAATTTGAATGGGATTAAAAAAAAAAAAAAAAAAATTTAAGGTTTTAAAAAGTCCTACAGACAACAGCATTGCACTCTGCCTGCATCTAGAATTATTTAGATCAGCATTTTAGTGTTCATAACAGAGGGCTCTCTCAACTTGTTATATTTTACATAATTTGTCAATTGATATAATTGTTAATTGTTACAATATAATTACAAAATAATTGTTAATTGATTTTGTACGCTTTGCATACACATGTGAGCACCCCTCAAAAGCCTGAAACCACAGAGCCACCCCACATAACAAATACCAATTTAACCCCTAATCATAATCATATAATTAATATAACATATCTGAAACTTATTTCTATAGGATTATTGTCTTCCTCTCATTGCCATTCTCATCTCTATCCATATTCTTCCCCTGCAGCAATATGAAAACTGGAGACCAAACCAGCCGGACAGTTTCTTTTCCTCAGGAGAGGATTGTGTGGTAATGATCTGGCATGAGGACGGCCAGTGGAATGATGTTCCCTGCAACTACCACCTCACCTTCACCTGCAAGAAAGGCACAGGTGAGCTTTTAGCACCTGGATGAGGGGTATTTAAAGAATAATGAGTCATGCATACAGTAGGTAGACATTTATTTTCAGTTTAAATGCCATCTGTGGTATTTGAACAAAAATATATTTATAACAAGGAGTACAATGGGGAATCTGTGAAACCTTGACTGCTATACCCTAATATACTGTATATCTATGGTCGTTTATAGACAGGAATCTAACATGTGATGAGTTGTTTTGGATTTTTCTGCAGTGGTTTAAAGCAGACAAAATTAAAAAAAAAAAAACATTTCAGATTCAGTACTCCATTACTAATTGTTACTCTGTTATGTGCCATTGTCAACAGTGTCCTGCAGTCAGCCGCCTCTTGTCCTTAACACCCGCACATTTGGCCTGCTGCGCCCACGCTATGAGATCAACTCACTGATCAGGTACCAGTGCATGGATGGCTTCATCCAGAGACATGTTCCCACCATTCGCTGCAGAGGAGACGGCACATGGGATTTGCCAAGGATTTCCTGCATGAGTCGTAAGTATTCTGTGAAAACCCAACACAACTTTTTCACAACAACCATCCCTATAGAGCTTGAATTATCATTCTGGCCTAGATACTATAAACAATACAGTGGTGTGAGTTTATTATATATATGAGTTTATATATACACTACCATTCAAAGGTTTGGGGTCGGTATGCTCTTATGCTCACCAAGGCAGCACTTGATTGAAAATACAGTAAAAACAGTAAGATTATGAAATATTATTACTAATATTATAATTTAAAATAAATGTTTTCTGTTTTAATATATTTTGAAATGTAATTTATTCCTCTGATGGCAAAGCTGAATTGCTTTAGTCTTCAGTGTCACATGATCCTTCAAAACACAAATATATATTGTTTATAGGTTATAACATCTTATATAGATGTTATATATTTTTTAAAGATTTAAATGTAGTACTTGTAGTGCTTTGAACTGATTGAAGAAATAATGTAAATAACTGTGATAGAAAATTTTGATTTGGAAAAAGTAAGAATTTCCAGATTTTCTTTTTAAACTCCCATTTTCTTTTTATTTTGGGATGAAATGTGACTCGGACCCGTTTTATAATGCGTTTTCCAGAAATATCCCAGCAGCTAGACTTTAGCAAATCGATGTTAAACATTAAAATATTACGAAATAATATTGTAATAATAAAATGTCACTGTTTGCAAACCAAAATATTACCGAAACGTTTTAAGAACACACTTTCGATGCTGAAAAACATGACCTTTATTAGATATTTAAATAGATTACCTTCATTACTGCCTTTTTTGTTTTTTCGTAAGAAATGTTTTTTATTCTCAGGTTTCAGGGGGGCGGGGCCTTCAGAGGGAGTGGGCGGGGCTTGAGACGTCACTCCGTCGACATCATCACACGCCTGCTCGTTAGCGTCGTCATGCGTGCGAGTGTTGCTCGACTGAAGCGGCTGGTCTCTTCTCTTCTCGACATCGTCTGCACACCTGATGTTATTTCCGTTGTGCTTCTGGTCGGTGTTGGCTGTGGTGAGGCAGCTGGGTGACGTGTCGGCTGGCTCCGGAGTGTTTGGTGCTGGACTGAAGGCTGGGGACCGAAGCTCCTTCAGGCTCTCCGCTGAGGTGTCTTCAGCACTGGGACTGGTGCCGCAGCCTTCGGCCGGATCTCCTGGAGTAGAAACCGGGGCTGATCCAGCTTCTTCTCCGGCAGACCTGACACTTGCTGCTTTGGGACGAGAAGAGACGGGTTTGTTCAGGAACAGAAGCGCGTGTCGGATGGAGATGAAGCATGAAGCAAAGCCAGCGCGTGTTCTGCGTGTGTTGCTTTAGTTCACATGCAGCGTACGGCTCGTGTTTGGGTCGTTGACATCAACGTCCTGCCGTGTGACATGCTCTAATTTCTTCCCAATATTCTCCTCATTTTTCTTTAATTATTATGCATGTAGTTACTATAAATTAAGCAGTACTTCCAAAAATTAGTCGCTCTGCAGAACCCCCTGACACACACTAGTGAAGCTAAATACACAGAGCTGCACGATTTAAGAAAAACAAAAAGATTTTCCTGCGAACAATAATAAAAATAATAAATACATTTATGTTATATGATATTATAATATTATATAATAAATTATATTGTATATAAATAATAATAATAATAATAATAATATGTATTATAAATGCAAATGGTTATATTATGTTTTATATTTCCAT